CCGCCCCTGACTGATGTGTGCCGGCGGCTGGCGGGAGAGCGGGAGCTTGTTTCATTACGTCCCCACCCCTTCACCGAGCAGACCAGCGGGCAGCCTGGGCAGCCTGGGCAGCCTGGACATGACCGTCAGCATGACCTCCTGGTGAGCTGCTCGGTGAAAACGCCAAGTCCAGCTCGTACCCTCAGTTTAGGCCTCACAGCAGTCACCCTCTGACAGACCTGCTCTACTTGTAGAATATAAAGGGAAGGCAGGTGTTCTTGAAAATGGACCACAAGGGCCAGCAGTTGGCGTAATGGCTATGTCACTGAACTCCCATGTAGTCGACCGTGGTTCAAGTCCCGGACCTGGTGGCTTAAACTCACACCGGGCGTGTGCGTGCGTGCCCAAGATCCCGGGAGGAGAATGGAGGAGAAGGGATTGCGGCGTGACCATCCCCCCTGGGGGGTGATTTCTTGCTTTCTGTCTGTCTATGTCTTTCTGGCGAGCGCATGCACCCTATAGCAAAAACCTCTCCAAAAAAGAAAGAAGGACCACAAATCTGGGCCAGTGGGGGCCTGCTTCATGGTCTGTGGAGACAAAGGAGAACTGGCTGTAAGAGTGACACAGAGGTGGCTGCATCTCCTCCCCAGCTGTTCCCCACCAAAACCCAGAAAACCCTGGAAGCGAAAGCCTGGCCTCGTGGAGGTCACAGAGTGGCGAGGGAGCAGCCTAAAACCCCCCCCCCCCCGTGAGGTTCTAGCCAAGGTCACACGGAGGCCTCTGGAAACGCGGGCTGCGCTACCCTCTGCGCGCCATAGAGCCACAGCGGGAGCTGCTGTGCTGGGCACCCCGCCGTCACCCAGGGGCGGCCGAGTGCACTCAGTCACTCCCTTTCACATCACTAGGAAAGGCAAGCCTGGGTGGAGACCGACTTCAGGGTCTCCCCAGGTGGTAGCGGTTGCATGTGCCCATGTGTGCGAGGACACACTCTTCATCAAACGTAGTAGCAGCGGCCGGCTAGGACAGAACTCTGACTGTGGGCCGTTAACGGGGTTTCTCACAAGCTAGGGCCCCAGATTCCTCACGAAAACCCTTCCTCCCTTTTGGCCCACCCTTCCCTTCCCAGCCCTTCCCCCCCCTACCCCCCCCCCCAAACGGTACGTTTGC